GGAAACCCGAACTTTTATTACCTGCTAATTTTCTTTGAAACTTCATGTCTAAAGGTATTTCAATTAAAAATTCTTCCACCAATCGTAGCAGTATCAAAAAATAAAGTTAAGGATGGTAAATTACATTATCTGCCAAACAAAAAATTATATGAACAACGTTAATGCTTCTTTAAGTTGATTTAAAACAAAACTCAAAAAGTGTTCCTATAGGTTTTTTACGTTATATTTAGGATAACGTCGTAGAACAAGGACTGACAATGTTGTCAATGCTTTTTTTTTTCTTATAATTCACCAGAATGTAATAATAAATTATCAAGACCACTGACAGCTAAAAATAACAAAATGAATCGACACGTGTTATTTATTTGAAAATGTTTATTCTAATCATACAACGTCGCGCCGTTGTCAACCGGTAACATCTGAAATTCCCCTACTTTAAATGCGTTAAGAAGTACTTTCAGTTTAGTTAGGTAGATACCTAGGTAAAACGTATCAAAATAAGTGAACTAAAAAACTAATCAAACTAAGATTCAATAACAACAACAAAGTGACCTAATAGTTGAGTAATAAACAACGTAAACTAAAAAAATTAATAAAGAACGGCAGATAATCAAAGTTATAGTTGGTAAGCCCTCTCCTCACATTCACAACCTCTTGACATCGCCGGCCGTGGCAGGTTGTCAACCAAGAGATTAATGAATGCCTGAGGGATATTTTGCCACTCTTCTTCTATGGCAAGTGCGAACTCATCCAGCGTTTGGGTGCATTTTCGCGCGATCGTACCATTAACTAAAGCTGAGATCACACAAGATCAAGAGATTTTGGAGGCAAGTGTAACTGTTGCATGTTATGGTCCCCCAAAAGCTCCTAAACAATTCTTGCTTTGTTTGGTCTCGCATTATCGTCAACCATGATGAAATGCTCCTCAATATTTTCTGCATATGGAATAACAATGTCATTTATTATGTGATTCCGATAAATTACGGCGTTAACAGTACCCCGTGAAATGTATAAGTCGGATCTATCGTTGTACATACATCACTCCGGCCCAAGCAAAAAACCCTCCTCCTCCAAAGGTTTCCTGAGAAGCCATGTTGTCTTCTTCAAATCGCTCCCCAGGTTGCCTCCATACTAACATCCTACCATCGGAGTGTATCAGGTTGAACCGCGATTCGTCGCAAAAGTGGAGGATAATAGTAGATTATACCACGAGTCAATAATGATAGGTATTATTCCCTAGGAATATTTACGAACTGAGCCGCGTTAACGGCGAGGGAGTAACATTCCGAGGGAATAATAGCCATTATTGCGAGTAGTATACTCTACTTTATTTACGACGAATTAAATTATTTGATATTTTTAATGAATATATTTCATTCATCTCAATTCTCAATACAAATTCACAAGCACTACACGTTTGACACTGATACTTTTGAGGAATAATGACCATTAATCCCGCTACTCGTCATTATTCCCTGCGGGAATAACATGTTTCATTATACTGCCAAAATCACAAGTATAATCCTTACATTATACATTAGCCGTAAATAATAGTAGATTATACCACGAGTCAATAATGATAGCTATTATTCCCGAGGTATATTTACGAACTGAGCCGCGTTAGCGGCGAGGGAGTAACATTCCGAGGGAATAATAGCCATTATTGCGAGTAGTATACTCTACTTTATTTACGACAAATTAATTTATTTGAAATTTTCTTTCCAAATATGTCTGGAATGGGCATCAAAAAAGGCAACTTTTTTCTAATTTAACCGGCCTTGTAGCTTTTACCGTTTCAGATATAGCTATAGTGGTATCACTTAAAATATACACCTTGTATAGGGGGAAAATTTTTGATATGAATAATAGGATATAAATGAATATCCTCTCGGATATCCATATTTATCATAAAAAAATAAAAAATAACGTATTTAAATTTTAGTCAGAGAGATCACCCTATTTTGATGATAGATACTCATTTATATCCAATATTTCCTATGTATTCATATTTGAAATTTCAAAAATATGGCGGCGGGGCCTCTATTCATCGTCGCCACTGTTTGCAGAGGTTTGTCGAGTCCCTAGTTTTTCACAAGAATTAAACACAATTAAACAAAATCAGATAAGATTTAAATAGGGCATATCCATGTGACGTCACAATTGAGTTTGACAGTCGCCCTGAGGTAAAACATTGAGTAAGTGCGCGTTCATATTGACACCGCTCGAGCGGTGAGCGTTGCGCGATGCCGCTGTAGTGATGCCCAAAAATAATTTTACACACCGCTCGAGCGGTGCCAATGTGAACGCGCACTAAAACAAATCATTCCTTTACATTCGTGTAGATTAAACCGGTTACGTTTTATGCGGTTTTCACAGTTTTTTTACAAGTTTTGGTGTTATTTTGTTTTTAAAAAGTTAGAGCGGAGTGTTTGTGTTCCAGTCTATGTGGTTTTTCATCTAAAAGTTTGCTAGGTTTTCCTATAATGGATTAAATTCAGATTTTTTCCAACAAATATCAAAACCAAGTATCACAAGAACAAATATATCGTCGCTGTCAGTACGAAGGGGCCTATCTCAATATTTGGCGAAAATTAGTTATTCCCATAAAAATACTCAAAAGAACCATATCTATGTTGTGACGAACTGGCAGATCTCCATAAAACACCGTGTGGCCATTATTCAATTTTAGCGGCATATCTGCTTTGTCAAACAGCCAAACATTTGTTTTTGTTATTACGAAAAGGCCTATCTTCTCAATAATTCATTTACAGAAAAAGTCCAATCTTTTCTTTCTAAAAAGATATGTCTCAATGTTCTAAGTATACTTTTGTGTTATGTATAAAAAAACAAGTTCTGCTACAGACAAAATGAACAGTAGAGTTTTCTTCAAAACGCTCTCCTGCAAAGTTCTGAAATCAGAGATTGGCCAGTTCGTAATGACAGCGACGATATGAGTATAGTTACTCTATATTCAATCAATTTTTTTGTCAGATCTTCTCTTTTAAGAACATTAATCAATTTTTCTCTTCTTTCTTGAGCTAATAAATCAAATCTCCTATTGTTGTTTAAAATTGATGGAAACCTATGGAAGGATATTGTATCCCTTGCGCTATACTGCCACAATTAACAACTAAACAAACTCTAGGCACGTCCAAGAAACTTCTGGAGCACACAAAAGGTATTTATTTAAAAAAATCTAACTAAAAACTCAAAAAACACTGTAAATTATATCTTTGTTTTACCTCAAGGTGACTGTCAATAGTGTCAAACTGTCAGATCGTGTTCTTGCCCTATTTTGAAATGTCGAATGGATGAAAAGGCCAAATGACAATGACATTTCCGATGAAGGATTCGGTATTTGCTTCATTTTCACTTTCATAACCTCAGTTTTATAAGACCAACAGAGCCAGAAACAGAGCCATCAGCGGTCACGAGTGAACTAAAAAAGCTAGCTCAAAGCGGTAATATGAGTGCGCTGACCATGCGCCGAACACGTGTTAACACAAACAAACCATGTCATTGGTTTCGACCAGACTCAAGCATTGGATAGGAGCAAACATTTTGACATCAGGCTCCACAGAGAAGCTATAGAGATACAGAAACACCACAACAACTTCAACAGAAAAGAAGAAGGCATGAACCTTAACAAAAGCTGGTTGCCAGTTCTCCGAAAAACAAAGATCCTTTCTTTCCGAGAACAAGACAAGGAAAATAGCATAATACAAGTCACGCCCACAACCCTTGATATAAATAACGCAGGTCCAACAACGTCGAATCCAGTCATCGGAGGAACACGGAGGAGAACACTTCGTCCTCTACCACACCGCCTCTGAAAATGTCTACGGCAGCAGTAGACGAAACGTTAGATATAAATAATACTCGACCACGGCATTATAGCTCGGAAAAAACTTTTTTACTAAATAAGTGGAATGTTTTTCAGAAACAATTTTTTGATACCTTTACATGAAAATGCCATTTTCACACTTCTATGTATTACGACACCCTAATAAGCGAATTATAAAACTTCAAGTTTCCAGTGCTCTCAAATACAACTTCCACTCTCGAATACAGCATCCCGAGACTCATTTACGGGAACAAAATTTGCAATGCAAATAGCGTAAATTCTATTATTGTAATTCATTGCAAGAAAGTCTCTTTTAAAAGCTTTTGGAGCTGTTGAAAACGAATAGACTGGAGTACATAAAAATTATTTCTAAAGCTTCCAGTCTGTGACCCACAAGCGTGCACACCAAATCAGAAAAATAACATATTATAACTTAATGTTATCATCATGGGGGTGAATGCAAATAGTTACCTAAATGTTATTTTGGGTTGGTGCCAATTTACAACTGAATATCAAAATATTCTATGAAAGAGACATTTCACAAAGCTTGAAAATACATTCGTTTCCCATATATTTTTCATTCGAGCTCTCATAACTATAGCAACCCTCTAGCTAGCTAACAAAGATTTCCTTTTCATTCCGGCCTTGTAAACTTTATACCTAATATGATTATTAAAAGAACCCACACTAAAAATTATTTGATATGCATTCTATTGTATAAAAAGACTCTTATTAAAAGTGATTTTATTCTTATTTTAGAGGATATTGCTGCCTTTCCGGCAACAAATAGAGAAAATATATTTAGCTCGAATATATTCGCCGCCACGATTTCCATTTTGCGTGCACCAAGAAAATAAAGTAAAACCGGGAAGCCAATCTGACATCAAATTTCTATTTTCTTACTGGGTTATATGGGTAAAAGAAAATCAAATCGTATGCGTGCAAGTCATGGAATTGAATTTTTTTTTTATTTAAATCGAAGCGAAGATGTCATGGAATATTGATTTACGTTGAGAGGTGCAAAAATAATAAAAATGAATTGAAGTTTTATGGACTTCGGCGCTTTTATATAATTTATTTGACGTGGAATGATTTATTGAAATTGTGAAAGTCGTATAAATGTTCCAATATTATAAATATTAATAGATAAACTTACCGCTTCTGTATGTATTGGATGAACACTGAACATCAAACCAGCCAAAGTTGCAAATGGAGGTTTGAGACCGGCTACGTACAAACACACCCTTGTAAACAGCAAGCACGCCACTGCATGTAGCGCAATGTTGGTTGCATGAAACGCCACTGGTGTAAGACCGAAACATAAGTAGTTGATTCTGTAATTGAAAAAAAAAAGCTAATTCAATGTTTGATAACAGAATGTTAATTTCTTGAGCAGAAACACACAAGATTTGAGAATGCTGAAGCCAAATAATAAAAATTTCTGAAATTAGGAAACTCTTTTTCAGAATACATCTGTAAAATTGTAGTTTGTTCTCCAAATTGCATTTTATCTATGATAGGGATATGAAATTCTCATTTGTAATACTGCTTCCTCATCATTATAATCGCGCTGATCTTCCTTACGGAAGCAAAAAAATTACAAATTAAATTCACGAAAGGGTTTAATTTCGTTCCAGAGACAATCCTCATTTTAGAATCCATTAGGGAAGACCTCCAATTTAGCTGTGCAGGGCAATTAGCAAAATTTGTCGCCAATTAATCGTATTACCTTTGCCGGGTTTCGTTAAGTTATTTACCTTCTTCCAGTTGGTTCACGTTGGGTCCTATAGGGGTGCAGTAATTTTTTTTTCTTGTCTCAGGTAATCTAGGGAATAACTAGATGACAATATTTGAAAAGGTGAATCGCGTCAAAAGTGTTTATTCAATTATTATTATTAATGATTTATTCAGGCAGTTTCTAATGTTACATTGGTGTATAAAAACTAATGCTAAGGAGAGAGTTGCTTTCACCTGGCCTCCAAAAAAATGTTGGCTATCAAATTTGAGAAACCTTTTTGTAATCTTTGAAAACCCTCTTTGGAACTCTCCCAGAGCACACAGCGAAAAATATAATACCTTTTCAAAATCTAAGCAGATTGATAAGTATTGGCTTGACAAGAAAGCGTTGGGGTCTCCCAGCTCTTTCTGTATTCATTTCTCGAGGGATATGTTTAACGGGGTATGTCGGAAAGTAAGCAGATGACTTCTTTACGGCTCATTTATTTACTTTAGAGCATGATTCTTTGAGTCTCGCTTAAAAGCTTGACAACCCAATTTCTTTTTTCGGTGAAACACTTTTGGCTTTCGGAAAAGTTTTAGGATAAGTTATCATGAAATAAAAATATTATTTGAAGTTTATTTTTTAGTCTTTCAAGTTATGGTTTGGAGGATGCATTTTTAGAATCAGACATTTTTCATCTTCTGTATCTGTTAAATTAATCACTATGATATCTATACAATACTCCATGAATAGAGAACTATGGACTTCGGATGCGTTTTCGATTTTTGCGTGCAGATATTATTATAACCAGGACAGATAATTCCACTTTATATCGTTGATGGATTGTAGACTGTATAATTAATAAGCTAATTACCTAAACACATAACTTACTTCATTATAATACCCACAACCCTTGTTTCTTGCTCTAAAACAATAATGTGCCACTTACAGATCAACAGATCATTTATTGCATCTTAGATTCAGTTAATATAGTAATTTACTTAACTAGTTAATTATTATTGTTGTATACAAGCCACAGGCTTTAATCACAAACAATGGATATTACAATAGATTGAGATTGGTTAGTTCTCATGATCGGATACTGCAGAAAATAGGTAAATTGAGGGGGATTTGCATGCATCAATAGTCGCTTGTAAGGAGTATTATGGGCCAAGATGTTCTAGCAATAATGAGCCGGAATTGGAACTAAATTTGACATGATTGAGGAGAAAAATGAAAATGCATTGTTTAGAAAAATAATAATAAAGATAATTATTATTATTAAATTATTAAATTATTTTACCAACTATCATGAGAAAATACAATTTACATTGGAGTCTGAAAGTAATGGCAATATCCCGTTCCTTGATATTATGGTACATAGAAGCGAAACTGGTATAATGTTGACTGATTGGTACATGAATGAATGAAAAGATCTTTAAACTCTGATAAATCATTTCATGAGGGTAACCTCTTAATTATTCGACCAATTTTGTCAATAGGACGATCACTAGGTTTAAACATAAAAGGATTATGGAGTGTAATAATTATAACAATAGTGACGTACGTAGCAACAAGAGATATTTTAAATTTCCGTTCATACCAGGTTTATCTGATAAAATTCAAACCTACCTTAACAAAGAGGAGTTCTGTTTAGCTTTTCACAATAAAAATACAGTTAACAACTGTTCATAAAATTAAAGGATTAAATTCCTGTTGATTACGAATCTAATGTCATCTATGGTATCCCATGTAAAGATTGTGATAACAAGTTTTACAAAGGTCAAATCAGACAATACGGAACAATCATATTTTTCAAAGTATTTTTTTTCTTATTGCTTATGTTCTCAAATATAAAATGTATATGTTTTTTTTTTGTTTTATGTCCTCCTTGAAATAAAAAAATTATTTTGAATTTCAAATTATTTTCGTTGGCGCGAAAACGATTAGCTTCAAGATGGTGGCATTTGTGACATCAACTGTCTGTAAACACAACGTTAAGGTCTGTTCTCACAAGAGCCTTTGACACTTTGCAAACTGTCGGAAAGAATCGCTCAGCTTGAACCTACGACTGCATTGAAACTTGAAAGCGGTTATTTATGAGGTATTTCCGTATTTAGTGCCATATTGTGACATCTTGTAATTCAAATAGTTCATCATGGTTGATACAGGATTTACAAAAGCTCAGTCTGACAATCTTCCCTCAATATACCCGTTTATGGTGGTTCAATATTAGTCGTGGCGTGACGTGAGCTGATCGTGGACCAATCGTTCCACGATTCAAGAGTGAACCACGAAAGTGTGGACCGTGGATTTACGATCAGTGTAAACTACCCTTAACCTCAAATTACGAACAATTGACGTCACTGGAAGCGGCCATGTTAAACGTAACTTTTCCGCGCGAAACTTTTCAATTTAAAACTAATAATTGCCATATGACTATAATATCCATAAATTTAATACAAAACTGCTCATATTCAATATTTTACACAAAAATGTGCACCATAAAAACAAAATAAGCCATATTTATTTCTTATGAAAATTCCCTATTGCTTAGGAAACGACTGAAAAAACACAGACATGATTGTGATAGACCTAATAGAACGGACTCAACAGCCCTTAGTCTTCATCATCACACTATCAGCCATGAGTTTGACTTCTCTTAGCCCACAATTTTCGATAATGGGATCAATTTCATAAACATGAATAGCAGTGAAATGATCTATATCAATGTGAATGACTCAATTAATTTTAGGACTGATACTAATAATGTAAGCTCTTGTTATAGCGGCATTTTGAATAAATACAAAGATAGTATTAAATAAGTAATAGGAATGTTAAATGCACGAGACAACAATATCTCTCATACCAGTTGTAACGTTCAGTACAGATTATTGATTTGTAACATTAATTTATACAGTTGACATATATTTTGTATATTGACTTTGTGTGTGATGTTATTAATCCTAGGTGTTCCATATTACAATTCACTAATGCATTTTATGTTCTATAATGGCTACTTTTACATCTCTGTAACTCTTTAAGATTGGTAAGTGAGAAAAAAGAATTATATTGATTAAAATTGTGATTTTTGATAATAACTCATATGGTTTTTATTGGTCAAAATCCCATACCATTGGGTTTGAATAAATTAACAGCATAGACACCTATTGCTTCGGTTCTCATTTATTCTCTGTACTGTAATCTTACCTTAATTTTGTTTGACTATCTTGATGTAATTGATGTTGCTCTTGATTGAATGATTTTTTATTGTATTTTCATTTTATTTCTATTTTTTTTTTGTTGTGTAATTTCATTCAACTTATTTAATGTTTTTATCGATGTGTTTTTCTTCATTTACAGACCCTTGATAATGTTGGAATAAACAACGAAACGTTGGGAAATTGAATTGGAGTTCTAACTGCCTTGCCCTATCTCCCGCTACTGTATAATCTTCAATTAAGAAAATCTTGAAATAGTATATTGTGTATTCAGGTGGAAAAGTGACACATTCTCGGCCGACGGTGTAAGTTGACGGGCGAGGCGTAGCCGAGGCCGGCAAACACCGAAGGCCGAGAATGTGCTTTTCCACCGAAATACACATACTATTTTTTCTGCGATCGGTTAAATTTCTGTTAAATGTTTGTCTTTTTGTCCCAATTGTTCAGCAGTACGAGAATCACTTTCCCGGCCTAGGCCGGAAAAGTGTTTTCGGTATTGTTTATTCATTGATTTCTTAGCAACTATTGAAACATAATTAAAATACCAGAATATTGAGTTTTGCGACCTGTCAACCGGTCAAAAATGCTGACATTTCTTGTCAATCGCAGAAAAACATTTTATATTCGAAAGTTAAGATTTTTATGTAAATAAATATTATTCAACATCAAGAATTAATTTTGAAATAAATGAAAAAATCCAAAACTCAACTCTTTCAAGTAGATTCAAATACCTACTTTTTCTTACATCATAATATTTTTCAATAAAATTCCTATACAATTTCTGAATTCGGAAAATAAATTAGCAAAATCTATTTCAGAAAAATGAATTCCTGGAAGCAATTATTATATTCTGAAGAGTTTCACTCCCGTATGTATTGTGCTGGTTTTGATGAGAATTGTGCGGTCCCCGGAGTGCTATCGGGAAGCAAAACGATCTCGGGCAATTGGTTTTCAAGAAAAAAATTGGTGCTTTCAACTTAGAAGCTCATGAAGTTTAATATAAAAACCATTTTCTGTTTTTTTTTTTAATTCAACCTACATGATAATTGAATGTTGTAATATCGCAAATGTTACTTGTTCCTTTTTTCTTTCAAATTTGATTTTATATTAACTTTTAATGTTGACAGTTTGATAACTAGCATTGAAAAAAAGGCTCCTGCTACTTATAATATTAGCAAATATTAAATTATTATACTACGCTTTCCGTTTATTATTTTGAATTTAAGCGCTGTCTGCTCACCTTGTCCGTTTCATTTATTTAGCTTTTTCAATTGTGCCGTCGAGCTGAAAGGTCGATCCTGGACTGAAAACCGACATCTTCCTGAGACAACTGTGTACCTTATCGACCATCAGACATTATCTTAACGAAATAAAGTTGTGTAAGGCAATAATA